TATATATATATATATATATATATATATATATATATATATATATATATATATATATAGGCCCTATTTGCTTACAACGTTGGTTAAAGTCTATCAGGTTACCTTGTAACATGAGATTCTAGTAACGTTGCGGTTACTTGAAATTTCTTCTTTAAAAACATGACGATTCGTCTGTTTGAACAAAAAAATTACAGTAAATAATATGCAGAACCCCCCAAAAAATTAAATTAAAATTAAAAAAAAACAACAACTGAAGAGAGTTTCGTAATCTATGGCAGTGGTAGCCAAATGGCGGTCCGTGGACCTTCACCGGTCCGCATGCCTAACGCTGCGGTCCACATAACATACATATTTATTGTCAAATAGAAGTAAAGGTATACAAAATAAACCATGCACCGGTCCCTGGTAAAATTTCGAAACTCGTTCACCGGTCCGCCAAACTTAAACGTTTGGGAACCACTGAATCTATAGCATATCTCTAATGGAATGACCGACTCTATGGCTACAGACCAGAATTGCCAACCCTTCGTAAATTTACGGACAATCCGTAAAATAGTAAACTAAAAAGACTTGTCCGTAAAAGTCCGAAAGAACTTCAGGATGCCCGTAAACACATGAGGGATTGTAAACCCCCTTCTAAAGCAGCGGTTCACAACCAGTGGGTCACGACCCCTTTGGGGTTTAACAACACACACAAGGGTCGCCTACCATCGGAAAACACATATCAATGAAGCAGTAACTAAAATAATGTAATGCTTGGGGCTCACCTCAACATGGGGTCGAGGCATTAGGCATTAGGAAGGTTGAAAACCACTGTTCTAAAGCCAAGCAAAATGGGAAATCTCAGTATTTTTAATTTTTTTAAAAGTTACATTTCTTTTTGATCGGAACTTTATGTTCATAACCGGGACAAGTTTAACGCAACTTTATATTCATAATCAGGAGAAGTTTAACTCAACTTTATATTCATAATTGGAAGAAGTTTAACACTTCTTTGTGTTCATAATCGGGAGAAGTTTAACACTGCAGCTAATGTCTTTCGATAAAACATCGTTTATAATAAGGCTCAGCTCCAAACTTAAGGGGCGTGTAGGCCTACACATGGAGTGAAACGAATCAGCTTCTGCCCATCTGAAATAGGGCGGGGGTAAACAAAATCCCGCCCCGCTCACTGCCGGCTCTTTAAAAAAATCCCCCCCCCCCGTAACAAAATATAATATGGAAAAGGTAAAATAACAAATGATCAATTGATTAAAGAATTAACTTGTTTGGCAATGTGACGAAATCACAGCGTAAAATCCCCCCCCCCCCCCTGCCCGCCCTTTAAAAAAAACCCCCCCCCCCCGTAACAAAATATAATATGGAAAAGGTAAAATAACAAATGATCAATTGATTAAAGAATTAACTTGTTTGGCAATGTGACGAAATCACAGCGCTTGTGATTATTTTTATTCTTCTTGTAAGTGGAATAGAAAAAAAAAGCCTCGTAACTTTTGTTACTCAGAGCTTCCACCCAGACCCATTTGCTGGTAGATGAGCTGTTACTCAGAGCTTCCACCCAGACCCATTTGCTGGTAGATGAGCTCTAATCCACAAGTTTGGAAGAGATTGAATTTTTGATATAAAACTTACACAATAATTATTATAGCACAAATGAAATTCGCGTTTAAAAAAAAATCAAAAAATCACTGAATTTGATAATTTGATAAGCTGAAAATGTGAAGAATTTGAGCTGTTGGCGAAGTTGTCCCGGTTTCTTAATCACCATTCAAGAGTCAACTTTGCTCTTTCAACCTTTTTAACTGTAACATTTTGTGTCATTACTAATATTCACAATGAACTCCAGAATAAAACACAAATACCATTACTAGCATGATCGATACAAACAGAATTTACCAAGTCCAAGGTCTTGAGTGGTGGGGTGGGGGTGTGGTTGGTTTCTACCACACGGGGAGGGGGGTTGGGGGGCGGTTCCATCAACCTGGGCTGCTTCACTTTTGATGCCCTTTGTGTGTTAGTTGATCCTTTCCATTTTTCTGTATCTCTTGTGTTTTACGTAGAAAGGTTCTTGCCTCATGCTCAACCCTCCTCTGTAATGCTGCTTGAAAGAGAGTCAGTTGATGGAAATAATACTAGCCTTAAGACTTGGCCTTATACTTAATTTTTCAACTTCAAATGTTTACATTTTTAAAAATATAAACGTGACTTTAAATCATTGATCATCATTTGATAAATTATTTAGTTGATTTACATCAAAATTTTAACAAGAATTAGGTATTCCCCCGTATGTTGTCCGTGAATTAAAAGTAAACTATTTCATTTATTAAAAATAAGTAAAGTCAGAAAAATAAATAATAACACAATTTAGACTCTTCAATGTGTAAGGGCTTAAAGTCAACCTCCCGTTTTTTCTCGTCTCCCTCGAGTTGTTGACTATTGACAACATGGCAGTCGATCTCCAATAAACATTTATAATTTGATTATGTCTTGTTGAAGTTGTTTAAAGAGATTTTGTTAGTTGGTTGAAAGTTTATTCGAGACATATGAAACATCACAGTTGTTATAAATTATTTTTAGAAAATTTGGTACGATGGAGTCAACAGGGAAGTGTCGAAAGGATAGTTTTGCACTCTATTTGGTCTTGTTGACGTGTATTTTGCTCGTGATACAGACTTCTCAAACAACAACACATATATCACCAGAAGAAAAGAAACAATTACGGTTAGTTAATTAATTATTCTAAGCCTAAATTCTCTACATGAGTTCTTAAAACATTAGGAAATAAAAAAATAATAATTAAAAAATCTAGTTAGGGAGGGCTAATTATTTTGGATTTGGGGTCCACAGAGGCTGAGCGTTGTAGTGTAGAATTCTCTCCCTTTTTTCTTTTGTTTACTTTTGGATAGTTACTAGAGTTACATTTTTCTTTAATGTTTATACACTGATAGAAAATCATAGAATGTTTCATAGAATGTTTTCAATTATAATTTTATTGGGTGATAAATGAAGTAATAATACCCCTGTTTTGTTAGTTATCATCATCTTTTTATTAATATTTAAATTTTTCGACACTTTGGCATGGAAAATGGGTATTTTGGGTGGAACCTGTAATAAAGTTTGAAACTGTAAGTTGGTAAGTTGGGTTTTCATTATTTTAAAACCATTTTGTATTGTAACTGTAGCACACCTGTTAAAGTTGACTTGCTTTATTTGCAATGAAATATAATATTAAGCAAGGAAAGGGGGCAACCGCAGAATGTTGACATTTCTCGCCGCATATCTAGAGGGATAAAATAAAGTGACTGTCTTTAAAAATAAAATTCTTTTCAAGATGCTCAAACCTATTATGTTTGTACATGAAGTTGTTATTAAATTTAATAAATATTTTACTAATACGTTGTTGTTTTTTTTCCAGGGAGAAATCTGTAGAGATGTTTTATCATGCCTACAATGCTTATATGGTAAGTAACTATATAAGTACATATTTTTTGTAAACATCTGACTATGCAAGTAGTATTTGAACACATTTTTCAAAAATTATGCAATGTCAATCTATTGAATCTTAATCTCCACAGAGTCAGTGGCTGAAATTAAAAAATATTTAATGTTTTCCTGTGTTCATTTTAACTAAAGGAACATGCATACCCAGCTGATGAGCTGATGCCGCTGTCGTGCAAGGGCAGATATCGAGGCTCTGAACCCTCTCGGGGCGATATAGATGACTCTTTGGGAAAGTAAGTCACTAATTTTAGTAAAAACAATTTTCAGAAAGATAAATATTAAGAAATATTATTGCATCATATTTGCTTTGATGTTAAAATGTTTATCAGACTTAGATCTTTTAAACATAAATTTTTTTACTGAGATTTTGCCATGCTTGTTGTATTTTCAGTTTCACCCTGACATTAATAGATACTTTGGATACTCTGGCAGTGAGTTCATTTCTTAAATTGCTATTTTATAAGGAAAACAATGCTTTTGTTTTTAAAAATTAAATGATCCAAATGATAATTCTCCATTTGCTGTTTATTCACTGCAATGTAAAAACAAGTTGTTCAGTAAATATATGAAATTATTCTTGACCATCATGAATTATTTTTAAAAAAAAATTATGTTGGGATTTTTCTTCAGCAAACAAACATGTATTAACAAAAATTAAAAAAATAATATTTTTTCAGGTTCTTGGAGATCTAGTTGGCTTTGATACGGCTGTGAGAAATGTGATCAGGGATTCTCGGTTTGATGCTGATGTGGTTGTGTCTGTGTTTGAGACCAACATTAGGATTTTAGGGTAATTAAGAATTGGCAAATGATAGTAACGATTCAGTACATTGAGTCCCTCTTATTGGTTAATTATTTAGTGACTCAATTCTCTTTAAATAAACCTGATTTAAAAATTATATTATTGTTCGATGACACTATACAAGAATATTTTTTAGGTAAAAATAATTAGTCAATTTTAATTTTACTTGTTTGTTTAAAATTAGTGCTACACAATATATATTATATATATTATGCTTTTGAAAAATATTGTTTTTTCCCATTACTGTTATTTAGTGCATCTTAATTGAATCAGTCTTTCGGCTTAAACATTTTAGAATGGTAGAAATCAGTTTATTGTGTTGTTCATCCTTATTTTGTTAGTTTGTTCCTTTGTCAGATGAGACAATACAAGATTCTCAGTTGCATTTTTATATCGATCTACCTGTTAGAACCATTGTGTACAGTGAAATACTTGTTGGGGGCCGTTATGTAAATTGGTTTACATGTTTAGTGCTGTTGTCTAAGTTGTTTTTCCCTTTTAAATGTTGTTGGTGATAATAACATCTCTTTCATCTCTAGGGGCCTTCTAGGAGGTCATGTCGCAGCCAGTTACTTCAAGAAGAAAAAGCTGGCCATGATGTGGTACCAGGACGAGCTGCTCACCATGGCTAAAGAAGTTGGAGATCGACTCTTGCCAGCCTTCAACACTACAACAGGGATACCATATCCAAGGGTAGGTTTCTCAGCAATGGAAAAATGATTTTAGTGTAACATCGTATGAAGATCTCAATTTTGTTTTCCTAGGCTTTGCTATTGGGGGATTTTTAATTTTTTTAATTCGTCTAATTCAAGCTGATCTATGATATTTCATGAATAAGGTGGGACCTATTATCCACATTTTAAAAAAAAGGTTTAAAAATAAATTTTGCTTTAAATAGTTTATCAAGTAAATTTTTGAGTGATATTTGTTTCTTTTTTGATAATTTATTTAATCAGTGTCTGATGAGAAGTAGCTTTCCAATTGTTGAACTGTAAAATATGTTGATGATTTGTGGGAAACGCTGACAATAATTCTCAATGTAAATGCATATTTGAAACGAGACTCCAGGCTTCTGCCATTAGCGGCTCAATGAATTAAAGATGTTCATAAACATGAAGAGCTGGTGGTTGATTTATTTATTTAACATGATTTTTAAAAAAAAAGAATGTATCTAATTTTATAAATATGTTTCAGCATGTACGTGCTTATCATATGAACCCTAAACTTAATCATTACTGTGGTTCAGAACGTTGCTGTCTGTGTCCAACGTCTATTCTTTTTCTCATTTGATTCTAGGTCAACCTGAAACATGGCATCACCCCAAAGATTGCCAGCTCTAACAGAGACACGTGCACTTCTTGTGCAGGGACCATGATATTGGAGTTTGCTGCCCTCTCCAGACTCACTGGCATTGGCATATACGAAGTGTGTTAACATTTCTGTTTTAAAGAAAGCACTTTGATGCTAGCTTTAAGGGGCATATGCAGTTTGTGTCCAGGCAGGGACAAAATGCTATCAGGCCAGGCCTTACGAAATACATAGTTTTAAAATATTCACCATAATGTTAGGTAGGGAAAAAAATTTTTTGGTTGCCCCATATTATAATTTTTTTCCCATCTCTGTTTCAGGAGAAGAGCAGAAAAGCCATGGATTACCTTTGGTCTCAGAGGCACAGAAGTAATAATCTAATGGGGATGGTCATCAATATTCACAGTGGAGATTGGATCAGGCGAGGTAAACAGTAAAGGGGGGAGAAGGAAGTATTTTGTCCTTGTAAAAATGCATATAGTGTTAAGAGCAGCTCTGGAGGAATAAATTTGAAATTCATTCTGAGCAGTAAACCAGACCTGTTTACTCTCAAACTCTTAAAATCGTACAATATCATCACAAAAATCATTCAATACATTATCTTAATAGGAAAAAACAAAACATACTGTATATATAATGTATACACCTCAAAATCCCACATTGTACGCCAAGAGTAAATAAGTCTGGTAAACCTGTTTAAAGCCGTATTAAAAATTTACTAACGTCACATATTCCACGATTTTTTTAAATTTAGTTTTTTTTTCGTTCTTTCTATTCTGTGGCAGAGAGTGGAGTCGGTGCTGGCATTGATTCCTATTATGAATATGTTTTAAAAGCTTATGTGCTGCTTGGTGATGATATGTACCTGTCAAGATTCAACAAGGTAACGGCGTCGACTGCTTCCTACGCCCAGACTTTTAATGATATCAGAGGGGCACTTTTTCTCCATGAGGGAGTGATAATTACTGTAGACTCCTTATGTAACCCAATTAGGAGCTCTGTAATGATAATGAAATATGGGATGGTTACAGATTTTCCCGAGCCTTTTCTGTGCCACGCCCTTATGACTTGACTATGTTTAGCAACACTTAAAAAAGTAACAATGAATTTTCAAAATTAAAAAAAAAAATTTATGTTTGTATTCAGTTACAAAGAGAACTGAATGTCTTAAAATATAAAATTGTGACTATAACATTTAATAAAATTGTAATAGAGATTTTAAAAATAATATTAACTTTTAATATCAAAGCTTAAAATCAATGGCTGTGGCTGCTTTTCCTTGCACCCCCTCAGATGCCACCTCATAATCTCTGGGAGACCCCCATGATAGCAGAATTAATTACTTACATTTCATATCAGTTCATTATTATAATAAATAATCAGATGGCAAATAATCAGGATTGGTTGGATTTATTCTGCCAATTTCCTAATAAATCAATAAATACATTGAAATATATTAATAATAAAATTTTGAATAAGAAAAAAGAAGCTGATGTTTGAGGATCCCTTTATATATGAGTTGAATGAGCTGAATGAGTTATCTCTCTCACTATCGATTTGGAGTGTTGGGGATCATTTAGAATGAGTTTTGATCGCTTTCCTATATGTTGATTGCTTCCAGCACTATGAAGCAGTGATGCGCTATGTCAGCCAAGGTCCACTTTTGGTGGATGTCCACATGCACAAGCCCACCAGTGCTGCTAAAAACTTCATGGATGCGCTTCTGGCTTTTTGGCCAGGGTTACAGGTAAAAATTTTATTTTCTTGACTGTCCATTGACAGTGGCTGGAAAGCTGTTCCCTAGGTGTTCACTACTTATTGGTTGAAAGCTTGTACTATTGATGTGTAATCAAAGGCATTTAATACCAGGTGCTGTTGTAACATTATGCTTGCAGTATCATGGGTATAAGCACTGATTTAGTCCACAGTAAGATGAAGCTTACAATCAGCGGCATACCATTATCTGCTGACAGAATTACCATGAGCTTATAAAGTTAGAATCTCTTATCTCAATGTAATCTGACTCAATACATTATACATCCTTTTGTGTCTAGGTTCTGGTGGGAGACATAGGACCAGCTGTCGAGACCCATGAGATGCTCTATCAAGTCATCCAGCGGCATAATTTCTTACCTGAGGTCAGCAGATTCTAACATGGACCATCTGTTGCTCTATATTATTTCAACAATTTACCTCCGAGTATTTTAATATAATTTCTTCTAATCTTTTGTAAAAGAATGGTTTAAATTTGCTAACCAAGTTAAGCATTGTTAAGTTTGAGGGTTGTCCTCATGAACCTGTTACTGTTAGTTACAAAAGGATAATGAAAGCTCATTTAAGACTATTTAAGTAAGAAGCTCATTTAAGACTATTTAAGTAAGAAGCTCATTTAAGACTAAGTAAGAAGCTCATTTAAGACTATTTAAGTAAGAAGCTCATTTAAGACTATTTAAGTAAGAAGCTCATTTAAGACTATTTAAGTAAGAAGCTCATTTAAGACTATTTAAGTAAGAAGCTCATTTAAGACTATTTAAGTAAGAAGCTCATTTAAGACTATTTAAGTAAGAGAAGTATCTTAAAACAGAAGTTAACCATTAATAAGGGTTTTGATTTTTTTTTTAAAAATCAATTTAAAAATCCTTCAGGAAATGATTTTTTTGTAAAATTATTTATTAGCAATTAAAAAAAAAGTCAAAATAATCTGTGCCAGGTGTAAGTCTCCAAAATTTTATTTCTAGGTATTTAAAAGCGTATGGGGGCCCTGTGGACCTAGTTTTTGTCAGTCAGGAGTGTACATATCTAAACACTTAAAGATGTAACTTAGTTTTTCTTATCCCTGTCTTCTCATCAGTAGTTAACTTATTATGTCTTGATACACTGTGCAGGCCTTCACTACAGACTTCAGAGTTCACTGGGGCCAGCACCCACTGAGACCAGAATTCCTGGAGTCCACCTATTTCTTATACAAGGTACCGGTGCATATCTGTCATGTTTTTTGCACATTGTGTCCCGTGTGAGATAATCATAATACTAATGGAAATGAGTGAAACGTGTTGATAAAAAGCCTTCACCCGCAAAAAAACAACAGTAAAAACAGAATTAAATAAAACAATAAGACTTAGCTGAGATGTAGTATCCGAGAGGACAGCAAGAGGACTGTCTTCCTTTAAAACTCCTTCGTGCTGACAATGCCGTCCCAAGAGCTTGCTTTTATGTCATTGAAATGTGCTGTTTGTGTTTAACAATTGTGTATTTATATGAAAAGAATTAACTGTGAAGCGTCGTTATGATTCATGGTTTTACAGCATGTACGTTGTACGTTTCTTTACCCTCTATGTGGTAATTGTCAATTTTAAGGCTATACTAGTTGTCACAGTCGTCGTGGGTTGAGGACCCTTAGAATTTGCAAAAGAAATATTTTTTTCAAACAAATTTTTTAAACCCTTCCCCAGGCGACGTCTGACCCATATTACCTGGAAGTGGGGAAGAAAGTCTTGGAAAACCTGGAGGAGCACGCCAGGGTCAACTGCGGTTACGCTGCCATCAAGGACCTTAAGAAAGGAACCCATGAAGATCAGTGAGTTTAATCTGGGTCACTGGTGTTAAGGGAGTTTTGTACATTTGCATTTCCACCTGATAATGTGTGCGTTTTGGGATACATCCACCTGCCACCCTTTCTTTTCTGTATCCTAAAATGTTAGACCTTGATGCTGTAAGGTCGTGTCTTTGTGAGTTTTTTGCTGCAGTTTAATTTGTTACCCAATAAAAATGAAGTACCCTGGTAGTTGTTTTCTTGTGTAATTTAAGTTTAATGGCAGTGATTATTGTTTCATAAACGGTAATGTAAGCTTAGGAGCAGTGGTTGTTGTTAAATAATAATAAAAAACTGTAATGTAAGCTTAGGAGCAGTGGTTGTTGTTAAATAATAATAAAAAAACCTTTAATGTAAGCTTAGGAGCAGTGGTTGTTGTTAAATAATAATAAAAAACGGTAATGTAAGCTTAGGAGCAGTGGTTGTTGTTAAATAATAATAAATAACTGTAATGTAAGCTAAGGAGCAGTGGTTGTTGTTAAATAATAATAAAAAACTGTAATGTAAGCTAAGGAGCAGTGGTTGTTGTTAAATAATAATAAACTGTAATGTAAGCTTAGGAGCAGTGGTTGTTGTTAAATAATAAACTGTAGTAAGCTTAGGAGCAGTGGTTGTTATGAAATAATAAACTGTAATGTAAGCTTAGGAGCACTGATGCTTGTTAAAATAAACTGTTATACATTTACTTTCCTCACTGTCACTTTTTATTATAAGACAACAGAGTTGTCATTGTCACACCTGAATTTGGTATTTTTTTCACTGATTAAAGTCATGTCCTTCTAGTTTTGTGTCTCGTCAAATATTCTCTCTCCAATTTTTTCTGCAGGATGGACTCTTTTGTATTGGCGGAGACTTTCAAGTATCTTTTCTTGCTCTTCTCCCAGAAAGAAGATGTCCTGTTAGATATTGATGACTTTATTTTCACCACCGAGGCCCACTTGCTTCCTTTAACACTTTCAGTTGGCAATTATTCGTGGAAGAATACGCCAAAAGTCCACCCAGATATTTACAAATTTGATATGATGTCTGTAGCAGAGATGGCCAAGGCTGCAGAGGACGATGAAGGCCTTGAGCCTGAGGCCTACGAGGAGTTTGATGAAGAAAGAGGTATTTGTCGCAACTATCATGTAACACTGTCTGAGGGACCTGGCTACCCGCACCGGCTCAGGCACCAGCTGCGGGATTTGGTTGACAAAACTCACCCGCAGCTCAAGACTGACCGTCCGAGGTTAAAGGCTGCGGAGTTTGTCGCCGGTAACAAGGAACACTTGGAGCTGTTGCACCACATGGGGATAAGAATTGCCACAATGCCGGACGGCCGCATACAGCTCTTGCACACAGCATCTGAAGCGCTGTCTCAGGCCTACGCTGATGCCGGTCTTGAGTTCATGCAGGAGATGATTAGCATAAGCCAGGCCCAGCAGCTGGAGAGCCAGCATGAGCCCATGTATATACGACTCATGTCTGATCCCTTCAACGGCGGGGTTGTGTTCCGCGCAGGCCCAGCTCAGTTTGGATATGACCTCAATAAAAACCCACCCATCCGGGGCCAGCTGGCCATAGCCAGGCCATTCAAAGGATGCACAAACATTGAAAACGTGGATGAGATCCGTGGGAAGGTTGTCATTGTTGAGCGCGGTGACTGCATGTTTGTGGACAAGGCCAGGAATCTCCAGAAGAGCGGCGCCGTGGGAGGGATTGTGTTTGACCAGGCCCAGGGATCCTCAAGTGACGTTCTCAGTCTCTTTGCCATGTCTGGGGACGGCACCAACGATGTGACCATACCAATGGTGTTCCTGTTCTGGAAGCAGGGCCAGGATCTGTTTGAGACCCTCAATGGGTACCCAGATCTTGTAGTGGAGGTGGCTGCCAAGAATGGTGAGTACTCATCTTCAGAAATATTCAAGAAGGGTTCCCCAAGGGTGCTGAGATTGGAGCCCCATAAGGAATTATAATTAATTTTATCAGAGCGTCGTTTGAAAATACTTTTAGAATGCCCGCAACATATTCAAAACTAAATTTAAATAAACTTTTTTTAAAATTTAACTCTTTCTATTTATTACTTTCTGTTCTCTAGTTCTAGAGATGTCCTTATTTATGAGTCTGTATGAAAATAAAATTAATGCAGCTTGTATGTTTCTTTTAAATTAAAAAAACATTGTAAATTAAACATATATTTTACCCCCATAATTTGTATGCTTGGAAAAAGTTTTAGACCCACTTTTTCAGCTATTTAACAGTCCAAGTTCATTATTATTCTTATTATATATTTTTGTTTTGTTTTTCAACTTCCAGAAGCAGCTACTCCCAAAGAAACCAGCACCAGGGAAGGAGGAACTCCATCTCCTCCTGTGTCCAGCAGCGGAGAAGGTGGTCAAACACAAGATCAAATCATTGAAGGTAACAGTCCATGCACCCAGCCCGCCTCGTCTTGGCCACAGCAGGCAGATCAGCTCAAACCAATTTCTAAAGCCGATCATGGCTTCTATCACCATGAGTTTCTAGACGTTTCCTCCAATCATTATCACCTGCAGGCCGGAACAAAGTATATTCATCTCAGCATAGAAGTCTCGAACAAGATAAGTGATGACTCTGATCAAGAGCACCGCGTCATGAAGTATGAGCCCTTGCCCGATGGCTCAAAGGTATTTTCTTTCTTCCTGTGCTACAAACTCAAAGGCTCGGAGAAGCCAAATCTCAATGAGATGTACCTTGATGTGATCCACACTCTACAGCACCAGACCAATTTTGAGCAGCTGGAGCAGTCATCCAACTACATGAAATCCATAGCAAGGTTAATGGAGTCGGCATTCTTTTCAATTGACCGAATAGATCAGGCAGCATTAGAGATAATGCAAGACTTTGTCAATAAAATCATTGTGAAGCACACCCTCCCCGACGGGGGTCAGGTTCCCATCGCCAAGAGCAGGCACATCGAAGGGAGCCCGCAGAGGGAGTGGCCTCATCCCTCCACCAACGCTCAGACTGGTCTTCCCACGTATGATGGCGTCACGTCTTCCTTAGTGATTAGTAAAGAAAGTGAGGATGGGGCAGCAATCAGTATCACCCCTGAGGCCCCATCCGACACACACGACCCACATCCTCAGGATTTGGTTCACCCAGAACACTCTTTGCATTTGCCAAACATTCCAAGCTCAGAACAGTCTTCCGTGGAGACAAAGATATTATCCGAAAGCCATCAAGCCACCGAGGATTTGGGGGCCCATCTGCCCTCAACCCTGGTAGATGATACTCACGATGGGCCGCCATCAATCAATCAAGTGAGGCAACATTTTGAGGAGAGTTTAGAGAATGATTTTAGTGCTCAAAGTGCGGGGAGTATACGACAGCAAAATCTGGCAACATCGTCATCAGTGCAACACTCAGCCAGTGAATCATCGGAGGAAAAAGTGACTAAAAGAAAAGATGAGCTATAACAGTAAATGTTTATGTGATAATTATCCCAATGTCCTGAACTAAAGTTGTGATGAGACCTTTACATATATTCCACCATTCACAGGTTGTAGAGTTTATTATACCAGGTTGATTAATTTCTTGCACAGTTTTCACTCTTATAAAATGACATGATGTTCATCAATCATTGAAGTCATGTGACACAATACCTAAACAACAAACACGGATCATCTTTTTGATATTTAAAGGAAATCATGAGAGCTGCTGAATCATGTTTAATATAAGGAAGGTTCAGTCTGGACTTTTAAGTAGATTGTGCAAGAGTAAGTGTGTTGCTCATGAGCTATAATTTTTTACCCCAAAGTTATTGTCTTCAGTTCCGATCCAAGTTAGATTTCAAATGATTATCTAAATAGGCCCATCATTTGGATCATTTAATCACCAAGTTACAATTACATTAGTGAGACAAAGAAAACGGGAAGATAACTTGGAGTAATTCTGCATTCAAATCGGATCAGGATAGGAATTTTGTCCAATGATGTGTGGGTTTTTTGAGACAGATCAATTTTTTAATTTTTTTTTTGTCTCTAAAATATGATGATTCAGAATTTTTGTGCTTGGCTCAAATGATGCTGTTAACTTTTCAATATAATTCACTGAGACCAACAGTGGAGCACTTCAAGAATGCCTCTATTTGAGGGTTAGGTTTTTTATTCTTTTTATCACATGAAGTTTTTTTTTAAAACAAAAAAAAAAGGAAACTTTTCATTTTAAACTGCCCCCAATGTTGTAATCTGTACACCAAAATATTGTGGGCCAGCAGCACTGGTCAATAATTTGTTGATGGGCAGTTTTAGTATGGTACCACTCCCTGATTCTGAACCACGTGTCTCACATTGTTACATTCTGGTGCTATTTCTTATCTGACGGGAGGCGGCGACTCATGAATGAACAAAAGTGTTCAGATTAACTTGTTGCCTTACTGGACTTAATATTTTGTTTCTAATGATATATGTGGGGTGGGGGTTTTTCCGCATTCCAGCTTAAATAAAAAAAATTATAATGAATTTAAATATTAAAATATTTGTGAGTAAACTCTGTAATGAAAAAAAAAAAGGAAAAATTGAAAAACAAAAATAATAATTCAGTTTTAGTTTGGAAACTAACAAAATAATACTTAAAAAAACATAATGTTATTATTTTTATCTTAGGTCAAATAAAAAATTAGCTGCTATATCATCGCTTTAACTCTCCAAACTCGGGAACAGGATCTTTTTCACAAATGTTTAATTTTTCAAAGCTATTTACATCTAGTGCTTCCTTATCTCTTTTAAAAATATTTTTAAAATTGCATTAATAGACCGCATATATTCTCACATGATCTAACTAAATGTGATTTAAAATTGCATTAGTCGACAGTATATTTTCTGTCACATGATCTAACTAAATGTCATTTAAAATTCTTTTTAAATTTATCATTTTTAAAGAGTCCCCCTGTAGGATTCGGAAAACCAGATTAAAGCATTTAAAGAGTTACAGCAGGTGTAGAGAGTTATAGCGACAATGTCGACACCATGGGTTGTTTTTTTTTAGATTGCTTATATTGAAGAAGTAACGCAGAAAAAATATTTTAAATATTTCTTCAGATGATTGAATCTAAATCTTAGAAGTGTTTAATTTTGTCTTCCAGCCATTGAATTTTGTTGAGCACTGTAAATACGATAATGCTGGATTTGAAAAGAATGTTAAATGAAGCAAAAAAAAATTTTAAAATCTGGATATTTTTTTTTTTTTTTTTAAAGTTGTTTGACAAAATTGCATTTTCCTAGTCTCTTGGTTTAGCTGTAACCACCATTTGATGGAACTTCAGTAGCTTCATGTAGATACTATTGTAGCGGCGGATGATCTTAAAGTTCATTATACTCAGCCCGGCCTGTTTAACGATGTTGTTGCTGTTAGATATTTTCCATAAGACATTACTTTTATGTCCGATGTTTCTAAAATATCATGTTAAGTGTTAAGTTGTTCTTCAAATTTTTAAATATTTTTTTTTTACTATCAGAGCTAGAAATGTTTACGAATTTTGGTTGATTGTGTTGAAAAGAAATGTGTATTTCGAACGTTTATATATGCAACAATATTTGTAAATTGTATGTTTTTCTCCTTTAACATTAACTGATAAGTTTTTATGTTTTGTGCCATGAAAATGTTCGTTAAATTGATTTGTGAATAATAATTTCAATTTTAAAAAAAAAAATCAATTTAGAATGTAAATTTTCTGATTCCTTGTATTTTAAAAAGAGTGTAAATTTTGAGTTATAAATAACTGAACCGCAATTGATGTTTCCGGTGTGAATCTGTCAGCTGTATGGTGAACGAATCAAAGCAGAATGGTGTCGGCACTTCTTTGTTATCAAACTAACTTTTTGCCAGTTTCTAATTTTACAAACTGGCACATCACCAGCCTCCGGGGCATTGCTAAAGAAATGTGTTTAAGTTTTTAATTTTGCTCATGCAATTATGGTGCAAAATTTTGTTTTATCTGGAATTTTAGTTGGAAAATCATTCATTCTTATTTATTATATCCAAATATTTTCTATCATGCATTGTTTTTCTGTATTTTCATTTCAGCGCAATGTAGCCACTATTTTTTTTTCCCAGCAATTCTGCTAAAGCTAACATCCCCTAGGCCAGTTCTTCACAAACATTTGAGTTTGGGGGACAGGCAGACGTGTTTCCCATTACAGCAGGGACCTGTGCCAGATTTATAAACTTCTTTTCTTTGAACTTTTGACGATATGACATAATATATATTTTAATCCATGATCAGCAAATTTGATATGACTTTATCAGCCATCGTATTGATGCCACCCGCTAATTTTGTTTTTATAATGGCTGTTTAAAAATAAAAATTCAATAGCAGCAATTTTATAAGTAAGTTTCTAACTTAAGTCTTTTTTTTTAAAGAAAAAGACATAATAAAGTGTGGAAGTCATGTTTTATGCACGGACAATCTCATTTATTCCAAGCAGAGATGGGAACCGAACCCTCTTTTAGTTGTTCCAGCTCTGGTAGGTTGGTTAATGTTTATAGCCTGTAGGTAAAACACATAGGTTTGCACATAGGTTTGCACATAGGTTTGGTTCGATATCAACTTGGTGATAACCTTTTTTTTTTTCTCCTGAAAACCCATTTTTCAGTGACACAAATACTGTTTTTAAACTGGTTTTTTTTAAAAAGAAATTTTAAATTATGCGGCACGATAAAACAACAAAAGGTTTTGAAATTTACCTTGTAAAAATCATACTGCTGCTGTGTGCTGCTCATCTAGGCCATGGGTCCTTAAACTATGGCCCCGCAGACCACATATTCGGCCCACCATAGGTCCGTAACCTGGCCGGCTCATCTGCTTTACCAAAAGCAAGGACCATGCTTCCCATTGAAATCCTAATAAGTTTATGTCGGTTGAATTTATTTATTTTAAACATATAGTTTAGGTTTTTGTCCTCTTATCCTGTATACGAACTTGCTCATATACTTTACAAGGAGTCCTCAAACTTTTTAAACCGGGGGTACAGTTGTCAGCGGGGTTCTAGTCCAGGTCAGCTCAGGCCGGTTAGATTCCCATCCCTTATTGAAAGAGGTTCTGAAACAAGACTTACAGTAGGAAACATTAAACCTTTTTTCCAGTTCACTGTCTCATATTGTGAGTACCGACAATGAGACAATGTAACTAGTTAATGAAGAAGGATAGGTAAAGGTCTAATTTCCTCTTCGTGCACAGACTGATCAGTTAGTGACTTAACAGCACACAAGGTAGAGCTTTTACAGCCAGACATGTAGACTGGCCACAAGCTGGAAAGGAAATAGTTGTGCACCTAAAGGGACAATTTGTTAGATGCCTTCTTCAGCAGACAATACAAAGCAAGAAGGCATCTAGCCAAAAAACGTCTTCTTAATTGTCCTGGCTTTTCATGTCTAGCCTCACAACATCAGGTATTACCATTTTCTTCACATGGCTTGAACGCAGTCCCTCATATTTTATCAATAAGCTGCAATATGTATACGATAAGCTGCAATATGTATACAAGCTGCAATATGTATTAGGTTGTCATTCAAATAAAGATGATGATGATTGATTACTTGTATAGCCCTTATGTCCATGCTATTTTAGCATGCTCTCAGCGCTCTGAGGTCCTAAAATCTATTTCAAGAAAAAGGTCTTTAAATGTCTCTTGAATGATTTTTTTAAAAACATTTTTAATTACCCTCAGAGATTGGGGCAAACTGTTCCAATAATTTAGGCTCTATAGCTTCAAAAGAGCGCACTCCCTATTTCTTTCTGTGTCCATCCACACCGGGAACTCTCAGTAGCGACTGTGATGAAGAGCGCATGTTCTTAAAGGATTCGTGTTTGGAAGTCATTTCTTTAAGATAGTCAGGTGCAAAGCCTTCCACACAGCAGTACGCAAGGGACAGATCATACAAGGGACAGAAGTAGATCTTCTTGGCCTATGTTCCTATCCAATGTTTGAAGCAGATGTGTACATTTTGAATGAAGTATGTCCCATGTATTTACATGCATTTAACATTCGAAATTTGACAAAGCATTTTTTCAATGGCTGTACAAAAATTGTCTCCGATGATTTATTATGGTGCTCTTTCAAAAATCTGTATCCAGATCCGAATCTGTATGAGGATGTAGCTCATGCTGAATTTCCCTCTGTAATCTCCTTGAATATGTCTTTAATTTATAGTTTGTTTTAATCAAGTGTACAAGTAACATACATTTTTATTTGTCCCACGGGTACATGAGACTTTTCTTTCTCCCAACCATTGTCCATTAACTGCATATATATATATCTTTTCAATTATAATTATAACCGAGAAATATGAACCAGTGAGTCAGTATGTGATCGGGCTGGCACAGGATCTCTCAAAACTTCATTCATTGACCTGCAAGGAGTTGTGTAGAAATTTTTACTGCTTTTGGGTGTGGAGGAGTTTGTAGTTTTGTTTGAAAATGGGTGCTAGGCACTCCTCGCAGTCAGGACTCTTGTACATCTCATTCAAGAAACAGAATAGGAAAAGGCTGGGGGGGGGGGGGGGTGATTTAAAAAATAAAAAAAAAAGACTATTTTATAAATTGTGTTGTGGCCCATTGTCTTCACAAATAGTTTAAACAGCTGGTTATGGTTTGCAGAGTTTGTCAAGATTGTGGTCGGCCGAATTACCGTATTTAAATTTATGGTCAGGACAGTTTGTCAAGATCATGGTCTTCAAAGTTTGTCATGGTCATGGTCAGCACTGTTTGTCGAGGTCATAGCTCAAAAAGTTTGTCAAGGTCATAGCTCAAAAGTTTCTCGAGATGGCTGTCTCTGTATTTATTCCAGTGCCAAAGTTTGCATCAACTCTAAAGATAGTTAAGGCTGAAATCTATAAACTGAATCTTTGTGAGGATGTGATGGATGCACGTGGTACTGAAATGTATGTCTGTATTTGTGTATGGACATATAACTTTGGCTTGCAGTTGGGAGAGGTATTTTTTTTTTTAAAATATGAGAATCCTACAGCATAATTTTTCAGCATCTATTACAGGTGGAGAGGTGTAAAAAGTGAGTTGGGGGGGTGGGAGGATGTCAAGCCTTGAAATAAAATTGGAGATGAATTGAAATTGTTTGCTTTCAGCTGTGGGTTTGACCACTTTCAGCTGTGGGTTTGACCACTTTCAGCTGTGGGTTTGACCACTTTCAGCTGTGGGTTTGACCACTTTCAGCTGTGGGTTCGACCACTTTCAGCTGTGGGTTTGACCACTTTCAGCTGTGGGTTCGACCACTTTCAGCTGTGGGTTTGACCACTTTCAGCTGTGGGTTTGACCACTTTCAGCTGTGGGTTTGACCACTTTCAGCTGTGGGTTTGACCACTTTCAGCTGTGGGTTTGACCACTTTCAGCTGTGGGTTTGACCACTTTCAGCTGTGGGTTCGACCACTTTCAGCTGAAGGTTTGACCGCCTTCTCTAGTCCTTGAACTTCCTGCATGCAATAATTTGGTGAGATCCATGGACAACAATGAAACAACAGCAATCAACATTGATCTTTTGACCT